CGGAGACGGTGGAGCGAAGAACAAGCGCGGCTGTGCAGTGACACCTGCACCAGCAGCTCCAGTACCCCCAGCAGCTCCAGCAGCTCCAGAACCCTTAGCGCCAGCTCCTCAAGGACCAGCTCCACCAACAGCAGCACCCCCAGAACCGGCACCTCCAGTCCCAGGGTCTCCAGCCTCCGTGTCTCCAGCAGCAGCACCCCCAGACCCAGGGTCTCCAGCAGTAGCACCCTCAGGCTCAGCACCTCCAGCCCCAGCAGCTCCAGTACCTCCAGTATGAGCACATCCGGGACCAGCACCACTCCCAGCTCCAGTGACGTCAGCAGAAGTACCTCCAGCGGCAGAGCCCCGAGCTCCAGAAGCGCGACCCTGACGGCGACCGTACCAGTCGTGCAGCTGCTGTGAGGTGAGAGGCACACGCGGACGAAGGCGGCTACTCCAAGGAGACCGCGTAACAGCAGACTCAGAACCCTCAGCGCCAGCACCCGCAGCAGCTCCAGAACCTCCAGTGCCAGCACCGTCAGCAGCTCCAGAACCTCCAGCTCCAGCGCCACCAGCGCCAGCACCTCCAACAGCTCCAGAACCTCCAGCTTCAGCACCCTCAGCAGCTCCAGAACCTCCAGCAGAAACAACTCCAGTAGCAGGGTCACCAGCTCCAGCACCTCCCGCAGCAGGGCCCCTAGCTCCAGCAGTGCGACCCTGACGGCCAACGTACCACTAAAGCAGCTGCTGTGGGGAGAGAGGGAGTCGACGACGAGAGTGCAGCGGCGAGGCACCAGCGGAGCGACTACGGAGACGGCCGCTCCAGGGAGACTGCTCACAAGACGCCTCAGCGGCCCCAGGCTCAGCACCCCCAGTCTCCGCACCCCCAGGCTCCGCACCTCCAGTCTCCGCACCCCCAGGCTCCGCACCCCCAGGCTCAGCACCCCGAGCAGGACCACCCTCAGCAGGACCCGAGTCACCAGTGACCTCAACCGGCGCAGTCAAGGGAGGAGGGTCTACCTGAGACACACCTGAAGGAGCAGGACCGGGAGCGGGGAGGGGGTCTACCTGGGGAGCACCTGGAGCGAGGAAGAGCGGCGGGGGGGGGGGAGAGGGGCAGTGCGGTAGGGGAAGAGACGGTAAAAGGGAACCGACTCGTTCGAACGTGACAACCTGAGAGGGGAAGACACGGCGCGAGGTGGGGTGGTAAAACTGCCAACCAGGCGCGTCAGGGACAAAGCCAAGGAAGACACAGAGAACAGCGCGGGCGGAGAGCTTGTCCGCGGTGGTATCGCGAACAAAGGCACGAGCACCCCAGACCCAAAAACGCTACGCATCACCAACCTTCCCCGTCCACAGCAGTGTGGGCAAGGTCTCCGGCAAGGAGACACGGGGCCAGAGGTTGAGCTGATGCGTGGCGTACCGGACCGCAAATGGCCACAGAAAATGGGGGGCAGCCGCATGGATCATGGAGGTACGAGCGACCTCCATGACTAAGCCAATGCGGCGCTCAGCAACCCCATTCTGCTGTGGAGAGGCCGGAAGCGTGAACGTCTGGCGGATGCCGTTCTCCGCACAGAAGGCTGCCAAGAGGTCTGAGGAGAACTCACCACCTCTGTCAGAGTGCAGACGCAGGACAGGAAAGTCCGAGTGGAACCGCTTGCTGAGCTGGAGACGAGAAGCGCGGATCCAAGGGATCAAAACATCAGGGACATCCCCCTTGCGCTGCAAGGGGAAGACCGTGGTGTAACGCGTGTAGTCGTCGACGACCAGCAGGAAGTACCGCTCGTGGCCCTGTCCACGGACGCGGGCTGTGCCCCACACGTCCAGGTGGAGAGTCTGCAGGGGAGCCTCTGTGGGAGGGAACGAGGAGGAGTGAGGAGCGGCGCGCTGCCGCCCCTCGACACAGGGAAGACAGGGAGGAGCAGGCGAGGGTGGTAGAGGAGGCAGAGTCTCTGGAAGTCCAGAGACAAGGAAACGGCGGTGCATGCTATGAAGGCGCTGCACCGAGGGGTGACCAAGGCAGTGGTGCCAAAGGAGGGTCTGGTGCGACAAAGCACGACACGAGCAGGGGGCCGTTAGCTGACCTGACGCAAACGCAGACGCAGACGCAGCTACCTGAGGGGACACAGTGGTCAGTGTGTACCGACTCGAGCCAGGCGCTCGGGTGAACGTGGCCAGGTGCCGACCAGTCCGGGAGCACGTACAGTGGGTCACACGCTGACCTCCAGGGGTGAACTGGTCAACCCACACATCCTGTAGGTCAGCTCCACTCACCAAGTTCGTAGAGAACGAGGGGAGGTGAAGACCCGACAGGGAGCCAGACGGGACCGCCGGACACGGCAGGACCGTGGAGGAGTGCGCAAGGACTGGACCCCCAGAGGGGTCTGCCAGGGAGACTGCAACCGGCCGACGGAGCGGCGTGAGGGTGGTGCTGTCGCGAAAAAAGGAGCGGGAAGCACCTGAGTCAAGTGTGAAGGTGTACAAGGCCTCAGCAGGCGCAGTACCAGAGAGAGCAGACTCACCAGCACCTGGAGCAGCAGCCTCACCAGCACCTAGAGCAGCAGGCTCTATACCTGGGTCAGGCGGTACGCACAGGTAACAGGCACGGTCAGCACTAGTAGGCAATGCATACATGGCAGTGAAAATAGCATCATAGTCAAGAGCAAAGATATCTACCCTCTGTCCAAGCAGCTCCAGCCAGTCGGGGAGCTCATCCTCGTCGCCAAACTCGGTACGCCAGGCGTCGTTCAGACGGGCGAAGCAGCGGGACTGTGTGTGACCAAGCGTCCCGCAAGCCTTACCAGCCCGATCACCTGTGCGAATGACGTACGGGCAGCGAACGGTACTCAAAGACCCTCTACTCTGAGCGTACCACTCGTGAAGCTGCTGGGAGGTAAGTGTCTCGCGCGGACGCCGCTGCAGCTGCAGCTGGCCACTGCCAGACGCTCCCGACTGACCAGCTCCAGGGCGACAGCCACGACGGCTACCGCCACAACCCCAACTAGCGTACCACTCAGGAAACTGCTGAGGCGTGAGAGACTCGCGCGGACGTCGCTGGAGCTGCATCTGGCCACCGCCAGTAGCAGCAGTAGCAGTAGTAGCAGCAGCAGCGCGGGCAGGGCAGGCGCGGCAGGCAGGCAGGCAGGCAGGCAGGCAGGCAGGCAGAGGGCGCGGCATCGTCAGAGGCAGGGCGCGGCCGCGTCAGAGGCAGGGCGCGGCCGCGTCAGAGGCAGGGCGGGGCCGCGTCAAGGGCGGGGCGGGGCCGCGTCGGCGACAGGGCGCGGCCGCGTCAGAGGCAGGGCGCGGCCGCATCAGAGGCAGGGCGGGGCCGCGTCAGTGTCGGGGCGGGGCCGCGTCGGCGACACGGCGCGGCCGCGTCAGAGGCAGGGCGGGGCCTCGTCGGCGGCAGGGCGCGGCCGCGTCAGAGGCAGGGCGGGGCCGCGTCGGCGGCAGGGCGCGGCCGCGTCAGAGGCAGGGCGCGGCCGCGTCGGCTGCAGGGCGCGGCCGCGTCAGAGGCAGGGCGCGGCCGCGTCAGAGACAGGGCGCGGCCGCGTCAGAGGCAGGGCGGGGCCGCGTCAGCGGCCTGGCGGGGCGGCGCTCTGGCCTGACGGGCCTGCAGGGGCGGCTCGCGGGTCTGACGGGCCTGCAGGGGCGGCTCGTGGGCCTGATGGGCCTGCAGGGGCGGCGCGTGGGCCTTACGGGCCTGCAGGGGCGGCGCGCTGGCCTAGGGCAGCAGGAGGCAGCGCGAGGGCTGCAGGACGGCGCGCGCAGCGCAGCACGTCACAAGGCAGGGCAGGCAGGCAGGCGCAGGACAACACGTGGGGTAGCGCGGTAACCGCAACGGTAGGTGGGCCCGAAAAAAAAGACGGTCCGAAGGACCTAGTGCTCTGAAACCATGTAAGAATCTAGCAGCAGTGATGAATGAACTATGAAAGGATTGGGTACAAATATGAAACCCTAAAAGGGGCTGTACCCCATGTTGGCTACCCCACTACAGCCTACACATATATAACATGCATATGCTTTGACAGAAAAGGCTTTTGAGGCGCCTCAAAAGTCAAATCCAGGCGCTGGTCAGTGGCAGTGATTCATTACTCATCAAGCGTAGGAAAAGGGCCTGGCTTGGACAGAACAAGCCTTGCGGGCGCCTCGGGACAATAATTTTGGATGTGCATGTATACGGTACCTAGCATGAGGTATAGGCGTTTAAGGACAAAGAGCTTTGGCATTACAAGAAGACGAGAATCTGTAAAACAAAAGGGCACAATCAACTTACAAATGACAATGAAACCCAGGTGCCCGCACATCATCAAGGCAAACGCACCATCCTCACAGGCAATGAGCTAACCCAGGCAAACCCAGACAAAAACCACATTGGAGGTTACAGATGCCAGCACATAGTCAAGGCAAACGCCATCCTCACAGGCAATGCTTCATCCCTTCTAGTGATCTAGTGACCTTCTAGTAACACCCCACCTGTTTTGATACCCATCTCTCCTCTACCCCCCCAGCTCCTCCTCCTCCTTCCCTTCCTCCTGCTCCTCCTTCACTTGCTTGCTCATCCTGCTCCTCCTCCTGCTCCTTCTAATAACCACCCCACACGTTTCTATACCCACCCCAACCCCCCTTACAATCACAATCATGACAAGCCTTCATCCTCGCCATCTCCCTCTCTAAGCACTTCAGCCTTTCCTCAATTCCCTCAGATCTTCTTCCTCCTCCTCCTCCTCCCTCTGCTCCTCCTGCTCCGCCGCCCAGCAATGAAGGTTTTACGTCACCAAATTTACCAGCAGCCTCTGCTGCGTGTTTCTGCTGCTGCTGCTGCTGCCCCCGCTCGAACAACAGCTGGCGCAGCTGGGCATTCTCCTGTCTCAAGGCCTCCATCTGCCAGGCGATTTCCTCAGGTGAAATCTCAGATAGCCCAGGTGCAACCCTCCTGGGCTGAGATGCCGCGTGACTAAAACGCGAGGGCTGGAAGGAGGAGTGACTGAACGGGGCAGCAGGGGGGTTCTTATCAGTTACAGGGGTTGCTGAGGGAAGGTGGAGGTAGAGGGGAGTGGAGATGGGTGCAGGGGAACTGTGGGGGTGTGGGATGTGGTGGGAGCAGGTTCCAATGGGTGGCAGATGCGGCAGATAGTGGAGGAAGATAGGTGAATCACTGAAGCTAGCTCCAGGGACTCCTTTCTTGGCATCGTCCTCCTCTCTCCCCCTCCCCTCTTCGATCTCCTTCCCCTTGCCTCCCTTAAGAACGCCCTCATCAACCTGATTCCTCCCATCTGCAATTTTCTCCTTCGTCTGAACCCTCTCCTCCTTCCTCTCCTCCTTTTTCCCCTCCTTTTTCCCCTCCTTAACCTTCTCTTCCCTCTCCTCCTTCCTCTCCTGCTTCCTCTCCTCAACGTTCTTCACCTCACCCTCTTTCCCACTGCTCCCCTTCTCCTCGTTGACACCAACCACCCCTGAACCATGAACATTACGCTCTCCCTCCTTACCACTCAAGCCTGCTGACCCGCCTGACCCGCCTGCCCCGCCCTCCCTGCTGCCCCCTCTACTGCTGCAGAATACAACTCTCACCTCCTCAGGCCCCTCGCTCCCTCCGCCTGACCCGCCTTTCTCCTCACCGCCTGACCCATCTGACCTCCCTACCCCATCATCCCTGCTGCCCCCTCTACTGCTGCAGAATGCAACTCTCACCTCCTCAGGCCCCTCGCTCCCACACCCACCAAATTGCACGTCAACATTCCTCACATCTCCAGTACAGCTCGCCTTACCTCTCCCCTCCTTGTGACCTTCCTCGTCCCCCTTCGTTTCCTCCTCCTTCCTCTCCTTTTTCATTTCCTTCTCCTTCTCCTCCCCCTCCTCCTTCCTCTGCCCCTTCCACTCCTCCTTCCTTTCCTCCTCAATCCTCTCCCCCTCCCTCTCCTCTTTCCTAGCTCGCCCCTTCTCCTCACTGCTGCAGAACACCACTCGCACCTCCTCAGGACCCTCGCTCCCACGCCCACCAAACTGCACATCAACCTTCTGCACGTCCCCAGCAGTAACTTTCTGCTCCCCGCCTTTCCCATCCAAAAGCTCACCACCACTGCAGCTGCTGCTGCCACCACCGTTGCTGCTGCTGCCGCTGTTGCTGCTGCTGCCACCACTGCTGCTGCTTTTCCTATCCTTTTCATCATCGCTGCTGCTGCCACGTTCACAGTTGCCCGCGGGGCTGATTGTCCTCTCAGCATCTGCTCTCTTCTTCGCTTTCTTGGTCGGTTCACCAAGCAGAAAGCCTTTCTTGAAAGGAAGCGAAGCACCCCGCTTGCTCTGTGACTTGCCCGCTGCTTTAACAGGCGTACTTGCAGCTGCTGCCATCGTAGCAACTGCTGCTTCTTTCCCCTTGTCTGCCTCTGCAGGAATTTGCTGCTGCTGCTGCTGCTGCTGCTGCTGCTGCTGGTGCAATGACGGCTGCTCTTTCTCTTGCTGCTGCTTCTTCTGTGGCAGCTGCTCCAGATCAGCAGGGACTGGAACGTCGCTGGACTGGGGACACGCGGAGGTGGGTGGGGTAGGTTCAGCAGCTTTTCCCGCACCAGGTTCGGCAGGCACAGCAACAGGTTCGGCAGCCATAGCACTGGGCTTCAAAGAATCCACCCGATCCTGCAGCTTCGTCAGCTCCCGAACCACTCCCCGGCGCAGCTCCCGGACCTCCTGGTTCGGCGACAGCAGCGCATCCAACCGAAGCAGCCAGCTCATGATCGTCTCACTCACCCGAAGCTTCTCCTTAGGTTCGGACGCCACCTTGACCGCATACCCCTCCTCACCGAGCCTCTCTGCCATCTCCCGAGCCAGCCGCCGAACCTCAGCTATGGCCCGAGCCACTTCAAGAGGCTTGGTGAGGCGGAGGGAGTGGCCTCTCCATGCGGATTGGATGCGGGTGGCGGCGACTGTTGCTGTGGTTGGGTCGTCCAGTTGCCTCGGCAGCTCAGGAGGCTCGGTGCTGGTGGTTGGGATGGTGGCAGGAGCTTTGGGTGCAGGTACAGGTGCTTCCAGCGCAGGTGCTTCCAGTGCAGGTGCTTCTGGTGTTGATGGTTCAGGTGCAAGTGCCTCAGGCGCCGCAAGTGTAGCCTCAGTTGCCACTGGCGCTGCCTCTGTTGTAACCTCAAGTGCCGCAGAATCAGCCTCAGGTACTGCAGAAACTGCATCAGGTGCCACAGAAGCTGCCTCAGATGCCACAGGTATCACTTCAGATGCAGCTGGTGTAACCTCAGGTGCCGTCTCAGGTGCTACCTCAGGTGCCGCAGAAACAGCCTCAGGTGCCGCTGGCGCCGCCTTAGTTGCCACTGGTGTAACCTCAAGTGCCGCAGAATCAGCCTCAGATACTGCAACAACTGCATCAGGTGCCACAGGAGCTGCCTCAGTTGCCCCAGGTACCACTTCAGATACTGCATGTGTAACCTCAGGTGCCGCCTCAGGTGCCACAGAACCAGCCCCAGGCACTGCCGGAACTGCCTCAGGAGCAGTAGAAACTGCCTCAAGTGCCGCAGGTGCCACCTCAGGTGTCGCATCAGGTGCTGCAGTTACCACCTCAGGTGCCGCTGGTGCCGACTCGGGTGCCGTCTCAGCTGCTGCAGCCACCAACTCAGGTGCTGCAGCAGCTGCTTCAGGTGCTGCCAGCGCCATCTCAGGAGCCACAGGAACAGCCTCAGGTGCCATCTCAGGTGCTGCAGAAACAACCTCAGGTTCCGCAGGAGCCGCCTCAGGTGCTGCAGAAACTGCTTCAGCGGCTGCTGCTGGCCCCTCTGCTGCTGTTCTTGCTCCTGCTGCTGTTGTTGGTGCTGATGCCACAGGAACGACCTCAGGCGCTGCAGCAGCAGCTGCAGCTGATGTCGGTGCTTCTGCTGCTGCTCCTGCTCCTTCTGCTGATGATGCTGGTGCCACAGAAACCGCCTCAGGTGCCGCAAAAACCGCCTCAGGTGCCGCAGAAACCGACTCAGGTGCCGCAGGAACCGTCTCAGGTGCTGCAGGAACCGCCTCAGGTGCCGCAGGAACCGCCTCAGGTGCCGCAGGAACCGCCTCAGGTGCTACAGCCCCTTGAGAGGCTGCAATACCCGGAGGGAGGGAGGAAAAATCTGCAGCAATTTCCGTTGGAGCAGGCAATCCTGCATATGCGCTGGACCCAGGCTCGGCACCCCACGCACCTGGATACGCGCCCAGGATCGGGTCGAGGCTCCACGGTAGGATTGGGGAATCACCGGACGCTGCTGCAGGAGGAGGCGGGAAGAACTGAACTGCAGCTTCGGGTTGCGCAGGATAGAACTGAGGAAGCCAATAACGGGGATAACCAGGCCCAGAGCCAAGCGGGGGGAGCTTATCTGTATAAGCAGGCAGCCAAGGCGATTGGCTAAGCCAAGGCGCCTGGTTGTTCCAAGGCGATTGGTTGAGCCAAGGCACTTGGCCGAACCAGAAAGGCGATGCATAAGGATCATCACCAGCCGGACCAGATGCCGCATCTCCCACTGCACCCTGCGTATTCCCGTCGAAACCGCTCACGAAACCTGGGAGGGCCCTGGGGTCCGCGTAAGGAGGATACGGGAGCATGAGCGGGTAAGCAGCGGCTGGGTTGATGTTACCACCTCCGTTCGCCGCTGTAACACTGAGCATCTCTCCCCCCAGGCCTTTCCCATTCGTGATTGCTCCCGTCTGCGCCTTCACACCCGGAGCGTTGACACCCGCTGCTGCTGCTGCTGCTGCTGCTGCCCCTTTTTCTCCGTCTCCCTCCATCTCATCCGATCCTTGGGCCTCCAAAATCAAGTCATCCTTCGTCTCTGCGTCCTCTCGGTCCTCTCCCACACGTCCCTCCACCTCCTCCACTTCTTCATTCCCGGAAGCTTCGCCAGAAGCTGCCTTTTTCGGAGATCCCACCTCCACCAGCTCCAGCCTGGCCGCTCGCGCCGCCTGCCCGCTCGCGCCGCCTGCCCGCCCAACTCTCCTGCTTGCGTCACCTTCTCTTCCTTCGCGGAAGCTTCGCAAAAAGCTGCCTTTTTCGAAGATCCCAGCTCCACCAGCTTCAACCTCGCAGACTGCGCCGCCTGCCCGCCGAACCCTCTTGCTTGCGTCACCTCCGCGGGGTTACCAGGCACCGCTGACGTCATCACGGGTAAAACCAGGGCGCGTAAGGAGCCCAGGGGGCCATGCAAGGGGGGACGTAGGGAGGGACGAAGCGGCTCAGATGGGGGAGGTGAGGAGGGGGAAAGTGAGACGGGCCAGCAACGGTAGGTGCTGCGTCCGGATTGCCTGGTGCAGTAGTGCGACCCACGCCAGCACCAGCAGAAGCCGCAGCAGACACAGCAGCGGCAGCAGAAGCAGCAGCAGCAGCAGCAGCGACAGAAGCAGCGGCTGCGGTAGCAGGAGATGCAGCAGCACGAGAGGCTGACTTGGCAGACGGAAAAGGAGGAGAATTCGACGCAGAAGACGCACAAGGGGAAGCAGAAGCAGGAACGGCCTTGGGTGGATTGTCACCCGACTCCTCCGCGTAAGCAGCGGCCTTGGTCTCACTGCTTGGAAAGGCAGCCACGTAAGCACCGGGAAACGCGGCGATGGGAGAGAAGGGAGGCACGAACCAACCGCCGGGACCAGCGGGGAACGGGAAATTGCCAGGCATCATAGCAGGCGGTCGCTCGGGAAACTTCGCCGGAAGAGTTAACTGCGACGGACGGAAGGATGGAAAACGCGGAGACGGAGGAGGAGGCGGAGGAGGGGAACCAACGGCGGGTCCTGTCTTGGGGTTACTTTCGAAAGATGACGTCTCCTCGCCTCCCATGTGACTCTTGAGTCGAGTCAGAAACGGAGGAGGAGGAGGAGGAGCAACGACGGTGGCTCCTGTCGGATGCTGAGACGATGGCGTCTGCTCGCCGCCGCCGCGTCCCATTGAAGCGAATTCCCGGAATCTCTCAACCACGTAACCAGATTTCTTCGATCAAGTCGCCTTGATGGTGACTCTGTGCGGACACGGCTGGTACTGCTAACAAATGAGCAGATATCAGACTCGGCCTTAGATTGTTCAGCCTGGATCGATACGGAAGCTCGAAAATGTCTTGCGACAAAAGCAGAGGACTGTCGTGGAATAGAAAGCGACTGGAAGTGAATTCATCGTGGAAAGCGACGGAATATTAACAAACGAGGACGTAATGCGGCGTGGCAAACGCCTCGTAAGTTGATCCATGGCGTTCGAGAATGGCGTAGAAGTAAAGGCAAGGATACAGACAAGTGCAGCGTGCAGGGATTCAGCAGTCCAGAACAAAGTACAAGCCACTAAAAGTTCTAGAAGCTTGCGGACTGGCAAACTAGCTGTAGAAAGGTGACCGATTTATCAATTAGGCATAGAGAGTTACACCGGTCAGTGCGAACGGCCATGGCGGGAATTGGTTTGGGAAAGACCTAGATTCTTCAGTGGAGAACAAGCGAGCGGGATATGGAAAGACGTACGCGAAGGCATGAGCGAAGGCATGAGCGAAGGCATGAGCGAAGGCATGAGCGAAGAAGGCATGAGCGAAGGCATGAGCGAAGGCATGAGCGAAGGCATGAGCGAAGGCATGAGCGAAGGCATGAGCGAAGGCATGAGCGAAGGCATGAGCGAAGGTATGAGCGAAGGCATGAGCGAAGGCATGAGCGAAGGCATGAGCGAAGGCATGAGCGAAGGCATGAGCGAAGGCATGAGCGAAGGCGTGAGCTGTCAAACATTGTATGTGTTATATTTATGTAGGCTATTGTGGGTTAGCCTCTAGGGGGTACAGAACTTTAGGTTTGTCATACTTGTACTCTCATTCTGTTGCTAGTCAATCATCTTCATTCTCTCACATGGTATAGAGCTTGGTTCCCTCGAGGGAACGTTTCCTAGGGCCCACCGAATTTCGGAAAAAATAATTTCTGCCCGAGTCGCGCCTCGTGTTTCTACTCTCTAGTCGCGTCCCCTGCCCTTAGTGGCCCGTCGCGCCCTCTTAAGGTCCCGTCGCGACCCCTCTCACGGCCCCTCGCGGCCCCTTTCGCGGCCCCTCGCGGCTCCTTTCGCGGCCCCTCGCGGCCCCTTTCGCGGCCCCTCGCGGCCCCTCGCGGCTCCTTTCGCGGCCCCTCGCGGCCCCTTTCGCGGCCCCTCGCGGCCCCCGTCGCTGCCCTTAGCGGCCCCGTCGCCGCCCTTAGCGACCCCGTAGCCGCCCTTAGCGGCCCCGTCGCCGCCCTTAGCGACCCCGTAGCCGCCCTTAGCGGCCCCGTCGCAGTCCTTCGCAGCCCCTCGCGGCCCCGTAACTGCCCTTCGCGGCCCCCCCTTGCGGCCCCGTCGCCGCCCTCCGCGGCTCTTCGAGGCCCCGCCGCCCTGTCGTCGCCGCCTCAGCAGCAGCTGCCGTCACTTCCGCTGCCACCGCTACTGCGGGTCTCCGCGGCTGTGCTGCCCCTGCCGCTGCCGCCTCTGTTGCGGCCCTGCCCCTCCTTTGTCACGGCCGCCGCTCGCAGCAGCCGCCTCACCTGCAGCAGCAGCTGCCGCCGCTGACCCAGCAGTAGCTGCCGCCACCGAACCTGCCGCAGCTGCCACCGCCGGACCTGCAGCAGCTGCCGCAGCTGCCGCCGCCGGACCTGCAGCAGCTGCCGCCGCCGGACCTACAGCAGCAGCTGCCGCCGCCGGACCTACAGCAGCCGCCGCCGCCGAAGGAGCAGCACTGCCGCTGCCGGACCTGCAGCAACACGTGCCGCCGCCGCCGAAGGAGCCGCACTGCCGCCGCCGGACCTGCAGCACCCGCCCGAGCCGCGCCCTTGCTTCAGTCACTGCTACTGTCACTACTGTTGTTCCTGCTGCTCCTACTGCTACTGCTCCTACTGTGAGTATGGCTAGCCCTGCTGTGCTAGCCTTCGATGCTGAGGGCCGCCCAGTGAAGTTTAACAACTGGCTTGATGACCTGCACCTTTTCCTACAGCTCACTGCCAAGGAGGATATCTCACTGTACGACCACGCCTTAGGCCATGCTGCTGCCCCTGCTGCTACTGCTGACAGCACTGCCCGCTCACAGTGGCAGACTCGTGACGCCCACGCCCGCTTTGCTATTCGCAACTCCCTGCCGATAGATGAGCGCGAGCACTTTGGCCAGCATAAGACTGCACAGGCACTGTACACTGCTGTCGTTGCCCGCTACTCCTCCCCTGCCTCTGCCGCACTAGGCCGTCTCTCGCTCCCCTACCTGTTCCCCGACCTGTCCTCTTTCTCCACAGTCGCTGACCTCATCACGCACCTCCGCACTAGTGAGGCCCGCTTCCGTGCCGCTATGCCCGCTGAGTTTCTTGCCCAGAACCCCCCCCCGCTCTGGCTCACTCTCTACCACCTAGACACCCGCCTCCCTGACACTCTGCGTGCAGTCAGGGACCACTTCCTAGCTCGCTGCCCCACTGAGCTCACCATTGACCTCCTCGAGACGGAACTGCTTGCAGCTGAGAAGAGTGTTGTAGCTGTAGGTGCCTCTCGTGGCGACCCCCGCACCCCTTTCTTTGAGGGGTGTTCCCCTTCCCCCCTTCTCCCCTCTGTCGCCTCTGCTGCTGCTGTCGACATCCTTGGTGCTGAGAAGGTCGGGACTGCGTCCACCCCGGGTTGGCGCCGCAGCGGCAAAGGGCAAAGGGGGCAAGGGAGGCGGAGGTGACGGTGGGGGAGGTGGTGGTGGGGGCGGTGGTGGCGGTGGGGGTGGTGGCGGGGCTGGAGGGGCTAGTGGCAGCGGTGGGGGTGGTGGCGGCAGCGGCGGGGGAGGTGGCAGGGGCGGGGGCGGTGGTGGTGGCGGCGGTGGACGCGGAGGCGGAAGGGGCGGTGGTGGACGGGGTGGCGGCGGCGGAGGTGGTGGTCGTGGAGGCGCTGGCGGTGGCCAGAGCCAGCAGCAGACTCCGTCGCCCCAGGAGATTCGTGAGTGGTACTCTCAGCACGGGGGGGGGGGGGGTGGCCTTAGCTGCACGTACGTCATCCGCACAGGTGACCGCACAGGTCAGACGTGTGGGAGGGCGCACACCACGCAGCGCTGCTTCTCCCGCCTCGACGACGCCTGGCGCACTCAGTTCCCTGCTGCCACTGAGCTGCCCTGCTGGGCTGAGCTGATGAGGAAGAACATTGATATCTATGCTCTTGACTTTGATGCTATTCTCACTGCCATGTATGTCTTGTCTACTAGTGGAGAGGGTGATCAGTACTTGTGTGTTCCGCCCGACCCGGGCATTCGACCCAGAGAGACTGCCGCTCCAGGTGCTAGTGTGTCTGCTGCCCCAGGTGCTGGTGAGGCTGCTGCTCTAGGTGCTCGTGAGTCTGCGCCCCCTGGTACTGGGTCTACTGAGGCACTGCACACCTTCACACTGGACTCAGGTGCTTCTCGCTGTTTCTTTCGTGACCGCACTGCCCTTGAGCAGCTTGCTCGGCCAGTTGCAGTCTCCCTAGCTGACCCCTCTGGGGGTCCGGTCGTTGCGACCTCCTCCACTGTCCTCCCTTGTCCTGCGGTTCCGTCGGGCACTCTGTCAGGTCTCTACCTCCCCTCGTTCTCTACGAACTTGGTGGCAGGTAGTGCGCTCCAGGACGGGGGTGTCCACCAGTTTACCCCTGCCTACGAGCGTGTGACACACTGCACGTGCGCTCGGACGGGCCGCCACCTGGCTACCTTCACTCGGCAGCCGGGGTCGGACCTGTACACACTGACCACTGAGTCCCCTCAGGTAGCTGCGTCTGCGTCTGCGTCAGGTCAGCTGTCTTCCCCCTGCTCGTGTCGCTCTCTGGCGCACGAGATTGTCCTCTGGCACCACCGCCTTGGTCACCCGTCAGTGCAGCGCCTTCGTGCCATGCACAAACGGTACCTTGTCTCTGGTCTTCCCCGGGTACTCCCTCCCCTCCCACCCTCGCCTGCTCCTCCTTGTCTTCCGTGTGTCGAGGGGCGGCAGCGCGCCACTCCCCACTCCTCCTCGTTTCCCCCGACGACTGCTCCCTTGCAGACGCTCCACATAGACGTGTGGGGCCCAGCCCGCGTCCGTGGACACGGTCAAGAGAGGTACTTCCTGATCGTTGTTGACGACTACTCGCGCTACACCACGGTCTTCCCCTTGCGCACCAAGGGTGAGGTCCCTGATGTTTTGATCCCTTGGATCCGCGCTTCTCGTCTCCAGCTCAGCGAGCGGTTCCACTCGGACTTTCCTGTCCTGCGTCTGCACTAAGACAGAGGTGGCGAGTTCTCCTCCGACCTCTTGGCGGCCTACTGTGCTGAGCACGGTATCCGCCAGTCGTTCACGCTTCCGGCCTCTCCACAGCAGAATGGGGTTGCTGAGCGCCGCATTGGCTTGGTCATGGAGGTCGCTCGTACCTCCTTGATCCATGCGGCTGCCCCCCACTTTCTGTGGCCGTTTGCGGTCCGGTACGCTGCGCATCAGCTCAACCTCTGGCCCCGTGTCTCCTTGCCGGAGACCTCGCCCACACTGCTGTGGACGGGGGAGGTTGGCGATGCGTCGCGTTTCCGGGTCTGGGGATCTCGAGCTTTTGTCCGCGATACGTCCGCGGACAAGCTCTCCTCCCGCGCTGTTCCTTGTGTCTTCCTTGGCTTTGTCCCGGACGCGTCTGGTTGGCAGTTTTACCACGCCACCTCGCGCCGTGTCCTTCCCTCT